TCTTTTTGATCATGATCCATCACTTGGGTCATTGACCAAAATGTTCAGTAATGGTAGTGGACCATCACTGAGGGTTTAAAACACAAATCAGGCCATGTTGCTTTTCTGCTCGAAACACTCCTGCCATTTCTCATCTTTCTTGCAGTGAAATCCAAAGTCTCACCATGACCTCCCTGTCAGCCCCCACTTTATCCCTCCTCTGGTCAGCCAGTCCAGGCTCCCCAACTACTCATCTCTAGCTACACTAACCTCATTACTCTCAGGGAAGGTGACATCTGTACTGTTCAAAAGGGTGGGTCTTTACTAAAATTCAGTACAAATGTCACCTTCCCTGAGAGTCAATGAACTACCATGCTGATGAACCGTCTCTGACTTTCTTTGTCATCTGTCTTACATGACTGTTCTCCACAGGAATCACCTCTAACTGAAATTATCATTCTGTTTGCATGTTCCTTTTCTGTTTACTCAACTAGAAAAGAAACTCCAGGAGGGCAGTAATTTCCGTCTGTCTTCTTTGTTTCTGTCCCTTGTGTCTGGAAGAGTGATTAGAACATAAAGTTGCCATTGAGTCAACTCCAACTCATGGTGACCCTGTGTGTGTCAGAATAGAACTGTTCTCCATAAGGTTTCTGATAACTGATTTTTGTGGTGCCGCTGGGTAGAGTTGTTACCTGCAACCTTTAAGTTAGCAGCCGGGCACTTTGTTTGCACCACCCAGGGACTCCTGCATGGATTGTTGTTGCTATTATTTTTGATATTGTTGGGTTCTGTCAAGTTGGTTCCAACTCATAGCGACCCTGTACAGGGCTTCCAAGGAGCAACTGGTGGGTTTGAACCACTGACCTTGTGGTTCACAGTCCAGTGCTGATCCTACAGCACCACACATTTGTTGGCTGAGTTTATTTGTCAAATCTTTAAAAATTATTCCTTATTGCTAACTTTATAATCTTACAGTGCCATAAACGGAGGGGTTTTTTTGTTGTTGTTGTTTGGGTTTTTTGTGTGTGTGTGTGTTTTTTTTAAGGCAAAAGCAGTTTTACCTATAAGTCTAAGTCCGAACACACAACGATTCTCAGTCTATGGGCTTATCTGATCTTTAGGTCTTTGAACAGTGTTTACATATTCTTGTAGCAGAGTCCCAAATCAGGCTTCTACTCAGAGATCACCGTGTGCTTCACTATATTGCTTTTTCTTGAGATTCCGTAGCCCTCCCTGCCCTGCTCTCATCTTGTTAGTCCAACTGTTCTTGGTGATGCCCCTCAGCTGTACAGAATGAGCCATATTTCCCATCCTCATTGTCCTCAGGAACAGAGCAAAGGAAAATGAACTTCAACTAAAGCCTCAGAAGTTCTCTTAGATCCCATTATTCGTTAGCAGACAGTTCTTGAACCTGTGTCTTGTGCTAGGAACAGTGGTGGCCATTAAGACACAAAAATGGGTGTCATTGTCCTTCTGTACAGGAATTCACAGACTAGCAGGATAGAGAAACAGGCAGGCAAGTAAGAAATGACCTGTGTGGAGAGGTGGCTGGGTAGAGGAGAGGGGACTAAGCGTGTGAAAGAGACAGTGTGTAGAAACACAGGGTCTTGAGAGCAGTGGGCTACACCTTGAGGTACTCAGGAGGAAGTGAGGTGGGACCTACGTGGCAGAAACAAAACAGGAAAGGTAAGCAGACGCCAAGACAGTTGGGGAATGTCACGCTAAGAAATTTGGACTTTATTCCAAACCTACTGAAGATCTGATGAAAAGCAAAGGATGAATTTCTTTTTAGTTTTATTAGTAGTATGAGAGTGCAGAATTCATTCACTTGTTCATTTTTATGTTGTTATTGCTGAGTGCACTTGAGTCTATTCTGACTCATACTGGCTCTGTATAATATTTCCAAGGCTGTCAATCTTTGCGAGAGCAGACAGCCTTGTCTTTCTGCTGCAGAGTGGCTGTTGGCTTGAACTGCTAACCTCGTAGTTAGCAGCCCAGTGCTTATCCTACAGAGCCACAGGGCTCTTATAACTTATCTATTTAGTCAATAGTACCTTGAGTTTGTTCCCATCTTCTGGGGCAGAGGAGGTGGATGTGATTTGATGGAATGACTGAGGAAGTAGCATTTCCTTAGGCCAAATTGGACCTTCCTGTTCCTAAGTTCACCTGCTCTGCCTCTTTTTCTGCTCTCCTCCTCTGGGAGTCACAGATTCACTCCTCCAGAGAACTCAATTCTTTTTGTGACTTTTTATTGTGAATTGAGTGAAGGTTTATAGAACAGATCATCAGTTCCACATTCAACAAGTCACATACTTCTTGTCATTGCAATGATTGCAATCCCCTCCATGTACCATCAGTATTTACCTCTAGTCCCTTTATTTTTTTTCCTCCTTCCCCCACTGCCACCCACCCTGTAACCATCATAGAATTGTTTTGTTTAGTAAGAAAATATTTTCTTAATGTTTTACAACAGTGGTCTCATTCAATATTTGTCTTTTTGTCATTGACTAATTTCAGTCAACATAACATTCTCCAGGTTCATTCATGTTGTGATGTGTTTTGCAGATTCTGTTATTCTTCAATGTTGCATAATATTCTGTTGTGAATATGTAATAAAGTTTGTTTAACCATTCTTCTGTTGATGGGCATTAAGACTGTTCATTCTTTAAAAAAAAAAAAAAAAAAATATATATATATATATATATATATATATGTATGTATGTATGTTTTATTGTGTTTTAAGTGAATGTGCTAAATAAGTATTTAACAGTTTTTATACAAATTTTTTCCATGCCAGTGGGTAAAAGTTTTACGATGTATCAACATTCTAATGTTTTCCATTCTGTTTGCTCTGTTTCCATTGATCTAGCTTCCCTTTCCCTCCTTGCCTTCTCATATTTGCTTTTAGGTCGCTATTGACTATTTAGCTTCATATAGTTCATTGCTTAAGGGAGCACATTACTTACAGATGATATTATTTTATAAGCCAATCCTTTATTCAGTTAAAAGATGACCTGCAGAAATAGTGTCAGTTCCAAGTTCAAAGCCTGTGTTAGCATAATAGTCTTGGGGGCTCCTCTGGTCTCTATCAACCCAGTCGTTTTGGCCTTTGTTTGGAATTTGAATTTTGTTTCATATTTTCTTCCATTATATCTGAGACCTTCGATTGTGTCCTTGATCAGAATGACAGGTAGTAATAGTTACGTACCGACTAGTTCTTCTGGTTGCAGCTTGTAGTTTGTGTGGGCTATTAGTCCCATGGACTGGTTCCTTCTCTAAGTCTTTGGTTTCCTTCATTCTCCTGTATTCGTTACAAGTAGAGACTAATAGGTATATCTTAGATGATTGCTCACAAGCTTTGAAGACGCCAGACACTACTCACTAAACTTGGATATAGAACATTGTATTTGCAAGTTATGTTATGCCAACTGACTAAATTGTCCACTAAGTCTATGGTCCCAAGACTTTTGACCCAGTAAACGAACACGAGTTGTTTAGCTTTGCCTAGGAAGCCTCCATAACCATGTCAGTCAATATTCATCTATTTTAAGCTCCTCCTACATTCTAAGCACAGTGCTAGGCTCTGAGTATATGCTGCTGTTGTTAAGTGCTGCTGAGTCAGTTCCAACTCATAGAAACCCTGTGTAGAGTTTCCAAGGAGCAGCTGGTGGGTTTGAACCACTGAACTTTCAGTTAGTGGTCCACTGCTTCTTCTACAATATCACAGCAGTATCCAACCAAAACCACTGCCATCTAATCAATTCCAACTCATAGTGACCCTAGAGGATAGAGTAGAACCGCTCTCTAGGGTTCCAAGGCAATAGCAGTAAATCTTTATAGGAGCAGACAACTTCATCTTTCTCCCATGCAGTAGCCGGTGAGTTTGAACCACTGACCTTGCAGCTAGTGACCCAATGCATAACCCATTATGCCACCAGGGCATGTGTCATTGTTGTTAAGTGCCATTGAGTCTTTCTGACTCATAATGGCCCTGTATGAGGTTTTCAAGGAACAGGCAGTGGGTTTGAACCACTGTTAGCAGTCCAGTGCTTATCTTACAGCCACACCAGGATTCCACCAGGGCATATAGTACCTAATAGTCATATTCTTTGCTATTATAGAGTCAACAATCCCAAACAAAGGTTGGGTGGCAGCTTCTGCCCTAGAGAGCTGTGTGAATGGGGTAATTTATTAATAACAAAGAGTTATAACAATTCCCCAACAATTGGTATATATTTAAGCAAAACAAGGTACATGCATATAATGGAATACTATTGAACAATTTAAAATGGTGTTTCAATGAGTTCTTAATAGTATAAGAGAAATATTTATGATGTTCTCTGGAAAAAAAGCAGAATAAAAAATTCTACAGTGATACATACCTATAGGGAAAAAGAAACATAAAAAAGACCCTGAAATATGCAAACATGTTAATTCTAGTTGCTTCTTAGCAGAGCATTTATTCTTCTACTGATATTTTTTCTGTACCAACAAATTTTCTCTATTAAGCACACATCTAGTCTTTCAACACACCAGCTGTTGAAAAAGGGCAAAAATGAACAGAACAAGAAATAAAGGTTGGAAGACAAAAATCAGGACAGACATTTGTCTGCTTGACATGATTTAGTTGTCATCAAACTTGAAGGACTATGATAGCAGGAGGGTGTCTTATCTGAGAGGGGTTCTCATAAGACCCATGACTGCTCTTTCTGACTCATGAATGAAGGCTATGTAACAGCTGTGCTCTGAGTGAGACAGCTGACCACTCTAGTGTTGAACGTTCTAGGGAGAAGTCAGTCTTCCTTTTAGACACCATTCCTCCTACTTATCCACCACCTGACAGAGACTTTTCAAAGACTTTTCCAAAAAACAGAGTAAACAGGAGAGTCCTGGCCACACAGGAAGCAGGTGTTCTTCTTAGAATAAAGACACGCTCCTTCCAACATCCTAGTTTTCCTTTCAACTTTGGAATCTTCAAGTCTTGCTAACAACTAATAATTAAATTTTTTCATCTCTTCCAGGAAATGATCGAAATGGCCTAGATTTCAACAGACAGGTAAGGGTTTGGCTCAGAAGGAAATCCTTTATTCCGTAAATTTCGTAGGTCAATTGTGGGGAATACAAAGAAGAGTAAGTAAAGTTTGAGGGTGCTTATTCATAGATTTCCATCTTCCAGGATTGGAAGACATCTGTAAAGCACCCTGAGGGTACACCCATCATGATTCGATGTTGGTGTCTCTTCTTCAGTAGTCCTTCAAAAGAGTACTGATAAGTGGAGCACCTGTAAGGGATTTTAAAAGATTTGTGGAACAAGCGGTCGGGTCCCCTCAGGGCAAACCCCATTCCAAGACTAAGACTCAATGGGAATACATGAGGAGACACATGTTCTGACTGGTGATCACGTTGGTCACCGATAAGGGGAAGTGGGAGAAAACAGCAATGAAGTTGTGAGCTAAGTCCAAACACGTTCAATAGACTCCTGTGAACCCAGCAGTATGGTAAGACCTGGGGACTCCTGGGCCCAGAGCCAGTGACATAGCCACAGAGGACTAGAGTGGAAAATGAAACATCCAGCTGATAAGAAGAGAGGGCATATGCACAAGAATACCCACACTTGCAGATAATACCCACTTGACCTGGCTTCAAAGGCCAGATGATCAGAGCTTAACTAGAAGAAGAAAAAAGAGGGAAAAAAGTAATCTGGTACAATTTGATGAACTTGACCTACACCTATGGATGCAGTAGCTCAAAAGAGGGAACATATCTTTACAGCAAGGATCATTCCCACCCCCTCCATACACAGGGTAGACAGGGATGGGCAACAGGGACATTGGCTACCCAAAATGGGGGCTACAAAGGCAAGAAGTGACTGGCTTACAAGCTTTCAAGAGGGAACCTAGATCCAGAGGGTGCAGAGGAAGGTAGAATCTCCACTGAGCAGTAGCCAATCTGTCTGTGCGGGACTGATGAAAGGAGATGGGGATAGCACTCATGGGGTACAATAGTGAATAATTACTATCAGGACTGACTGTGAGAGTTGGAAATGTAAAGGTAGACATTTTGTAGCAAAAGAAAGGAAGTGGTTGACTTTTCAGGCCAGGAGTGGAGGTCCCTGGGACCATCAAGGGAGAAGAGCAGAGTGCGGGATCCAGAGAAGCAGTGATGCCAGAGATGGAGGCAGAGACAATGACATGGAGAGATGGAGTGGGTGGGAACTCTAGACCCAGAGAGAGAGAGGGACTGTGTGCTGACGGACAGGGGTCAGGCTTGTGGGGTATACCCTTTGGTTGGTTGATGCTGCATGGAGGGGATGGTAACCATGGCAATGTAACAATAGGATGAATGTAAACCTAATGTTCTCCCATGTAAACCCTCACATAATTCATAATCAAACTGTTTTAAAAAATTGTGGAAAAATGGAAAAAAAGATCATGGAATTTTCCCACAAACTTTAAAAGTTCCTTCGTATTTAGGATTAACTACATGCCATACCAGATGTGGTCCAGAAATCTAAGTCAACAGCTCTTTTCTTGTCAATGCTTAGCCTGAGATTTCTGAGTCTGTTTGTGTGGACTAACTGTGGGTAGAATTTATGGAGCCCTGTGGGGAGGTACAAAGGGGGAAATGCCCATGTTTCTTCAGGGAACTCATGAGTTAAAGCAAGAAGATAGAGAACAAATAACACAAAAAGAGCACACCAATGAATACATAACCAGGTTCAGGGGATCAGTGTAGATACAAGTGTGGTTTGAAGAGAACCAAGATGGGTGGAATTAGAGTTGGTTGGGGAAGGTGGTGTTGATAAGAATGGATAGAGGTGGAAGTGTAAAGAGAAGTGTGAAGCAGAGGATGAGGACTTTACCCTTGAGGTTAGAGCTGATGGGAAGAAGACTGGGAAAAAGGGGTCAGACACGCTGTGATGTCAGAAGTAGATGGTGGGAGTGGGTGTGTTTGTTGGAGAGAGAACATCTAAGCTGTAGACACTCAATAAACAATAAGGGGATGCTCCAGAGTGAGACAATGAATTTGATACGAAGTCAGAGAACTTGGGTTCTGGTCCCTTTTCTGCCACTCACTAGCTATAAGACCTTGGTCAAGTTGCTAAATTAAAGGGCCTGAGTATCCTCAGTCAAAAGATTAATTTATAACATAATTTGTAGAGGCACACTATGCCAGGCGTGGAAATACAAAGAAAATTATGACATGGTTCCTGCCCTGGAGGAGCTCACAGTCTGGTAGGGGGAGAGAGAGAGAGACCTTTAAGTAAACAATTACGCATGTTCTTTACTAGAGGTGTCTAAATAGCATGGTGTCAAACAGAAGTGGAAATAGTTAATTTTGGGAACTACGGGCAGATTTCATAGAGGAGGTGACATTGAGTCCTGCTTTAAAGGGTAAGAATGTGTGTCAGGCAGAGAAAAATGGGGTGGAGAGGGAGCAAGTGGGGAGGAAGATAGTTACCAATGTGGGGTGCATTGGATAATCTTTAGAGCTCCTTCCTGTTCCAATATTGTGAGTCCAGGCTTAGATGGAAGTCTAGGGCAGGGCTGGAGATCAAAGATAGACATACATTCTTTTCTTCCTTTATCTGTGGGATGATCTGAAGTCACTACTAACATTTCCCAAAAGACTGCTGCTAACTCTGGGCACACCCTTCCCAGTCAGAGAGAAAAATATTCTTGAATCCTATGCCAGAATTTCCTACCGTGGTCTCACTAGGGTTGGTGTCAGATACCCCCCACCTCCGCCCGTGGACCTCTTCCCATTACCAGACCATACAGAATCCTTAGTAATGTTTACTAGTAATTTGAATAATAGAATATAGACATGCTCGATATACATAAATTGCTTAAATGTAATATTTCTTATATGAATATAAACACAGTTGTTTTATAAAATCTTTCTACATGGAATCATGACATTATTACAGTATTAGTAACTTACAAAACTTTTTTGACTTGTCTTCTTTAATTATTATTTCATTCTCAAAAATGTTATTGATGAAGGTTCACAAATACTATTTACCACAACATTGTAGTTAAAACACCAGAAAATTTGACAAAATTGGTGGCTATGAAAATATCACCAGCAATGAAATCTATGGAATAGCATGTGCTTGTAACATGTGCAGACAAAACCACATGATAAAAAGCCTCACTATGATAGGATAATAGTGACACCTCTGACAGGAGCACATTAGAAGATTCAAAAAGTAAATTAGCATAGAGTTTCAGCCTTGTGGGTATATTGATACATGTAAGCTTACCAAAAAGGAGCTCTGGTAGCGTAGTGGTTACGAATCGGGCTGCGAACCTTAAGGTCAGCGGTTCGAAACTACCAGCCGCTCCGCGGGAGAAAGATGAGGCTTTCTACTCCCGTAAAGATTTACACCCTCGGAAACCCTGTACAGGGTCGCTATGGGTCGGAAACGACTCAACGGCACTCAACAACAACAACAACAAGCTTACCAAAACGATTTTTGTTGTTTATAACTAACTACAGGTATAGTTTTATTTTTTTTTTAAATAATAAATTTATGCTGCTGAAACAGTGCACAAAGATTTTATAGCTAATCATTTTATTGTCACCCTTACACACACACACACACACACACACACACACACATACACCTTAACAGTGCACAAAGATTTTATAGCTAATCATTTTATTGTCACCCTTACACACACACACACACACACACACACACACACACATACACCTTAACAGTGTCACCTGAGTGGTCTAAACCCCCACACTAGTGACCAGACTGATTGCTTAGGCAGGTAAATCCTACAATTTTGCTCATCAGAGAGGTTGGGAAAAGTTGGCTAGACCAACCTTTCTATTGGAGATGTAAACTGGAGATAGGTTTTCAATAATAGTCAGCTCTAGCTTGGCTATGAGAAAGGACTTCCAGCCAATGAGGCAGATTAAACACTGGAACAACTCTCAAGCAAGGAGACAGGCATCACCTTCTCACTCATGATTTGTAAATGAGAGAGAGATTCTTATGTAAGGAACAGTTTGACTGGTTTCCCCTCAAGGGCAGGAGGCAATCCTTAAGGATTCCTGATCCCTAAGGAGAGTCTTAAACAGATTGGGATGTGCCCTGTGGCCTGTGCTTTCTGCCCTGAGAACTCAGAATCCATTGACCCAGGGTCAGCCTCTCACTGCTCCAGGCCCTTGGCCAAGATGCGAGGGGAAGGCTCATCCAACACCAAGATATGCCCACACCAGCCTAGCCAGGAGATGGCCTCCACACAGTCCTGGTGGGTTTGGCTGCTTGTGCTATCTGTCAGAGTTCAGCTTGAGAAACCCTCACACTTGTGGCAGCTCCTCTGCCCTGGGTAGCCTAAAGGGAAGCCCCAACCTTCTGAACTAATTTGAAGAACATATCCTCACTTTTGCCAGCAGCGAACCTCACTTGGGTTTGTTTCCTTTGGATGAGACACATGGGGTGGGTGGGTCATTCCCTCCCTCCCTTGGGAGGGGTTTTGTATTTCTCATTACTGACAAGAACAGACATGACAAGTCTTTCTTTTAAAGAGGGGGAATTTTGGAGGAAGAGACACTTAGCCAAGTCACACTCATTTACACACTTACACACTTAGGCTGCTCACCAGTACCCCCTGACCAGAGTGACTGTGCCAAGGTCTCCTTCTCCCTTTTCTTACTCTGTCATCCAGATGCCTCCAGGCACCAGCTCCCATCCACACACTTCCATTCACAGCAGTACACAGCAGGCCTCAGGCCACTGCCCTGACAGCCCAACCAGTTACTATGGAGTCAAATCCAACTCATGGTGGGCCCATGTGTGTCTGAGTTCTAATTGTGCTCCATATGGTTTTTAATGACTGAATTGTGAGAAGTAGATTACCAGACTTCTCTTGGTGGTGCCTCTGGGTGGACTCAAACTTCCAACCTTTCAGTTTACAGCTGAGTCCATTAGCTATTTGTACTCCAGCCAGGCTCCTGCTTTTCACAGCAAGGGAAAGAAGCCAACGTAATACCAACCACCGAGCCCTGTGCAAGGTACTTTTTTACAATCCAAAATCA